CCCCCTCCCCTCCCCTCCCCTCCCCGTCCCCTCCCCTCGTCGCCAGCATTACTAAATTCTGGACATAAGGTGAAGTCATGCGCTTAACAGTCACAGCAGTACGACGCTGGCCATGAGGTTGCGCAATACAGCACGAACCCTGCGCAATGAGGTCGCGCAATGCAGCTTCGATGCCGCGCGTGCGCGCCCGGCAGCCTAACACAGCGCGTACTGCGTTCACAGACCATATTGCTCGACACCAACGAGCATCGATGCAACGCAGCCTCTTTGCAAAGCCCTGTGGAGAAACCCCTCGCGTCGCGGAACACCATTCGACTCAGCCTTATACCCTAGCGTGGCGTGGCGAAATCTTACCGCATCGTGGAGCACACCCACCATAGCGTGACGTCCATCCCTGGCAGTACCGGCCGCACCCCTCCAGCACTATCCTTACAAGGGGGTTGGTCACTGAGTCACTGCGGCTTCAACGCAACGCGTGCAGGCCTGTAATCCTGACACAGTGCGTGCAGCTGTGGGACCATAGCTGGTACACATGCGAGCGTTTACGCATTGCGACTTTTACGTGCGCCTGTTTTCACACACCTAGACACAAACGAGCGTCGACGCAACGCAGCCTCTCTGCAGAGCCGTGTGGCGCAATCTGACCGCAACGGAGTTCCTCTTGAGCCTTCTTATGCCTTCTTGTGCTCTCTGGCTTTGTTGGTTTCATCCATGATTGACCAAGGGGCACGTTCCTGAAACACCGGAGACAGTCCCTCACCAGAAAAGGTCCCAACAGCTACTCGGTCCGTCTCTACCTTTCGTGTTTCCCCGCTCAAGTGATCATAGTCGCTCCAATTTTTGACTGCTACCGGAATGATTTTTTCTGGCTGCTTGGTTCTCTGGATCCTTCCATATTAAAAAACATTTGAAAGCGTTTCTTTGTGTTGCCTTTACTTGATGCTATGTTATTTCCAACATTGGTGTGTCAGCAGCTCATGATACATAACAATGCCGTGTCATTTTTCTTCACATGGTGTTTGTCACCCTGTTTGCCTTTTCCGCGCTAGATATTTCGATTCAACCTGTAGATCCCGTGAAAGTTTGTTTGTTGCGTTGACGGAGCAGGGGTATGGGGTCACGCTGCAGTTAGGGATCATTCAAAACATGCGTTGCAGAACCCCTGCTTCACACTTCGCACCCAGAATTAGTTGAGGTGTGCAAAGCTTAAGGCAGTGAACAGAACAAAAGTACAACAGTTGCTGTAAAATCAGGTACTGCATAGTTTTTCCAGCGCATGTTCTTTGTGGGTGTCCATCGTTGTATCCAGATTGATGTTTCTGCTTGCCCGCAACTGTTAGATTCCAGGTGGATGTGGCGCTTGGTCCTTGCAGCGTTGCAGGTCCATACTTGGGTGATTTTGCTTGCGCTGAATTTCCAGGGAGTGTTTTGCAACACCGGAGAGTGTGTTTCCGCGCGTCCAAAAGTCCCGCCCAAGGGCATTTTGCATGTGAATTCCACCTTCCATCCCTCAAGGCTCTAACAACCCTTGGTTTCCAAAACATTCTTGTGAAGGAAAACTTGGGCATATCAGGTGGGCAACATAGCAGTTTGCATTTCAGCACTCCCGGTTTGATTATGCGGCTGTTTATCAAGGGTTTGAGGAAACAGCACAAGGTGCGAGAACATGAGATAGTAGACAGCAATCCTTGTCATAGTGGGGCATAGGATGGCACAGGTTCCAGGGTAAAGGGCAACATGAAGCACGAGAAGCGTTTGGATAGTGCAACAAGTCAACACGAGTCAGAAATCACTGTACACTGTATATTCTTCCAGTGCCAGTCTTGTCAATACCCTGCCTGCCTGGGCCAGCCATTCTTTGACAAGTAGCTTTCGTCAAGATATCCCCTCACGCACAGTGCCAAACTTCCACCATGCTTGGATGTTTTCTTGCTTGGTTACTTGTAGGTGCGAAAGCCTCTCACACACACACACACACATACCGTGTTTGTATTCTTGCATGATGTTGACTCTGATCCAGCAACAAGTAAAAGCCTCCTTCAGACAGGGAATGTGGCCATAAACCAAGCTGTGCATCAGCAGAGACTGTCATGAGTTTCGACTCTCAATCGGTGCGCTTTCCATGGTGCATTCCGTGTGTTTTTTTTCTGGTGTAGAGTGTGGAGGGTAGTGTGTATATATATATATATACATAGTTCCTGATTTGTTTGGCCTGGCATTTCTTCAGCCAGGCAGAAGGGCCCATAGCCATCAAGTTTGCGCAATGGGCATCAACGAGACCTGACATTTTGCCTCGCAGCGTTCTTTCCCTAGAGCTGTTTAGCCCGCAGCTTAAAAATGCAGAGAACAGTCTGCAATGATTGTGGTCTCCCAGGTATGTGATCACCTCTCTCCGTTGCAGGTGGGATTTGATCTCCCTTGTGTTTAGGCTTTTCTTTTTCCTCTTGCAAGGCAAGTGTGAGGCCTCACAGCTTTCAACAGACAAAGAGGACATTGTGCATGCGCAGGGATTCAGAGCACCCGTTGGCATTGTTTCGAATTCTGAGCAGGATCCTGACGGAGACTTTTGGACCTACTTGGGAGAAATCACTTCAGCTGGCCTTTCGGATCAATCCATCGAATCAAAAGACGGAAATTTAAAGTGTTTGCAACAAGTTTAACTGAGGAAGCTGAGCCATTGGGTTCTGGCTGTATGGCCCAAGTTCACAGAGGTTGCCTACACGGTTGGCACCTTAATCGACATCGTGGTCCCATCTGCAACCAAGGCGTAGACGTTTGTTCCACTCTTGGTTTGTTTCATGCTTAAGGTCCCTTGGAGGGTCAGCGGCCGAACAAGGCAGCACAGCGTTTGACTAAGCGCACGTTGTTGCGCTTCTATTTTTGGGGGGTTTACACTTTGTGAGCTTGGCTGAGCCAGCTGCTCTGAAGAGACAGCGGTATTGCTGAATTCTCTTAAAGGGCCCTCCTGGGTGCAGAAGAGTCTCACAGGACGCTGCGCCTGAACAACCTCGCAACGTGGCAGTGAAGGCCAGATGTTGCTGGTGCTTGTTTTATATAGTATAATAATAGAGTATGCTAATACCATGCTAATCTTGTGCGTGTACATAGTGGTTGTTGGTTGATCCCCAGTGGTGCAACACTTGCAAATCTGCAATACCAAAAATGATTGGAGCGGCATCCACGATACGTCTTGGCTCTCACAGAAGTCTGGTAGGGGGGTGTCGGAGAGTTTATTCTCCATAATGCCATAGTCAGCTCTACTCGCGAAAGCTGTGAAAACTTACACCCAGAGCATCAGCCGGTTCCAGTTTATGTTCTCTTGACATGCTCGTGAAATACTCAAAGATCTCAACTTGTTGCCCGGGCACGGACAGGCTTTCCAAAGAAAATCTTGAATTCCTTTTCATCCTGGAGGCCGGCGAGTACCAACCTTGCTTCGGGTGGAACAGGAAAGATTTCTAAGAAGTCGGATCAGATGGATTTTCGGGACCTGCGCGTGGTGCTGACTGCGTGTGCAAGTTGCCTGCTTGTTTCCCGCATATTGAAAAGGGTCAGGAACTTGTGTCCAGACTGGGCCAAGCGTGTCAAAGACTTTCACCTCAAGCCTGACATCAGTTGTGGAGCGCTTGCACACCTTTCTTCCCCCTTGCCTTCAACCATGGCAAGGGCCTACCAGATCTTGGCCATAGAGGACCTCTTTGGCAACTTGGAGGATCACAACTCAAAGTGACAAAAACTTCACAACCCCCAGCTTCCTTTGCGGGGCTGGGCAAAGCACCATGCAGTTGAAGCCGCGTGTCCTGCCCCCTCTTTCACGCATCTTTTATGGGAGTGCAGCCGGCTTCAACATTGACCCGAAGCTATGGCATCGCGGCTTTATCTAGTCCCTCTTGAGGGTGGCCACATGTGGCCACCCTGGCAAGTCGTCCTTTGAAGGCGCTGGGCTTTGTGAGAAGATGGACTTCATGCTCTTTTTTGTTGTGCCACAAAGGGCGCGTTTTAGCCTTCAAGCCTTTCGTATCATCAACTGGGTTCGCACGCCGTTTTCTCCATGTTGACACCGCAAGGGATGCCCGAGCCATCTTGCTTTGAGCTGCTGAGCACAGGACAAGGGCTTGCCTCTACTGCGGGGTACAGTGCAACAGCGCTTGCATGCCAAGAGGCTCATGACGCAGCTCCAAGCTTTGCCTGATCAGCGGCCAGCTGCAGTTGAAAAAGTCTCGCGCGCAGGTCCAACCTGCTGCGGCTCTGACAGCCGCCACCGAGAACCTCAAGCCTAAGGAAACCCTCTGACTCTTCATCCCACAGCTTACATACCCCCTAGCACGGAAAAGACACGAACAAAGCAAAAAACTAATAACACGTTGAACTAAATACATATATATATTAGTTTATATATGTATGTATGTTTTTCGTTATATCTATTTACGTATAGGATATATTTTTCATACACGCACTTTATACACACATATACATATATATATAACTATGTTTATCCGCAAATCATTGTTCGAGCCACGACTTAGACATAGTGCGAAAATGGCGCAAGCTGCGAATCGCCAGGTGCTTCACCCGGGCGCACAGGCAGTTCAGCCCAAATGCAACGAAAGGATACAAATTTCCGCTGTCCAGGACAAAGTGGATCTGGACTTGGAGGCCTTGCACGAAAATGGAAAGCAATGAACAATGGAAGCAGATAGAAATCGGATAAGGCTTTTTGCGTATATGCAAATTCCGGGCTGGAGGGATGATGGGTCGGGGCCATCCAAGTTTGGCAAACTCTGCCAAGCGCGGCTTCGTTGCACCTTATGCTTGACATACGCACACACGCACACACACCAAAAAACATAAAGAACACAGCGGACAGACAACTCATGAAACAATTCATTCCTGGAAGGTGGCTCAGACTGTGAAGGCAGTTGCAAGATCTGCATCAATTCAAACTGGCACTGGTTTCAATTAGAAAACATATCAGCCAGAAGATAAGACTCGACACGATTCACAAATATTCGCCACAATAAGAAGTGGCGCTGCTTCCTGTGGGCCTTCATGAGCAGATGAGGCCCTTGCGGACCCTGTCGCATTACTTGCAAAACTTGGCAGCGATTGTTTTTCCAAGTCTCAAGGCAACTTTTCTGCCAGGCCATGGGGAACTGCCACTGCAAGGCGCATTCATTTGGTGAATACTAGAACATACTAGAACAATGTCTAGATGCGTTTTAACGTGCGCTAGAGTACACTCTATGCTTACAGTTCAAGTTGGACAACAGTCGTATTTGTTGTTTGCGCGTATGGAGACGATTGTAGACGTGTTCACAAATGTCGGACATCGAAGATGTAGTATACGAATGCGTGGAGAAGTTCGAAGCGCGACAGGCAGCACATTTGTCCAAGTGAGAGAGATGTACGCGCGTTTCGTTGCAGCTGGTTTTCTATTATTGGATGTTCATTTTGCAAGGTGGAAGAGTTTGAAAACTCAAGAAGCAATCCCCACTGCCATCAGTCTCGCTCAGTCTTGCCCTACTCTCCACGTTGACCAATAGCTTTGCCTTTGAAAAAGAAAACCATCTCCGTTGCAATCACCAACATGAGTTCTGACTTAGACCCTTCCGCGACAACACGTTACTAGTTGGAAAGGCAACGCAGCGCAGAAGAACCACGCAACTCGAACACACAGGTCGAAAACACGCTTGCACGTTGCCAATCCTTGCAGTGCAGTTTTTGGGAAAGATAATGCAATGCATCTTGCATGCTGCTTGTATTTTGCAAGCTCCATGATAGTTAACTGTTGAATTTCCGTGGCCTGGCCTGTTTCTTGCCAGATCTTCGGAATTATGACTGCAGCTGATGATTTTGTAGGGCAGCGGCAGGAAATTGCAAGGGCTTAGGCGTCCCAGACATCGTCAGGGATGATTTTTGGAGTACATATAGCTGGCGTCCCCCAAACCCACCGTTGTTTGCCCTAAGTGTAGCGTGCAGTATGTACATATGTATTACAATCGCCGCCCTTTATATAACTATCAAAATAGGAGTATGGGATCCAAAACATGAATGCGGGAACCATTTCTGCGCAGATCAATGTGTACATGAGTAGCATAATTAACATCATGGACCTTACTGCAGCCCTTTACTTTGCGTATCAAGCAAAAGTGCGTATGGTAGCGGAGCTGAGAAGGAGGTAGCCCCTCGAGTGAAAAGCCCTTAGGTCACTGGGACCCCGGGCACGATTTCGGGCCATGGATTTGGAGCCTTTGGAACTCAAACAGCTGGACTGGTGTACTGGTGTGTAATTGTTGCAAGCAACACGTGTGCCCAGTACATTGTGCCAGACATTGGTACAAGGAGAAGATGGAGGAGATCAGAGAAATCCTTCAGACTATAGTGCAGAGTACGCTGGCAACAACATCAGCAGCTGCGGCAGTGAAGAAAGCAGTTGAGGACAAGAAGTCATCAACCACAGATTGGTCAAAAGACTATGAGCCCCAAGAAGAAAAGATTAAGGCATTCAGAGAGTGGTCACGGGTCTTGGAGAAGTTTGTGAGCGCAGTTGATGAGGGCTACATGAAAGACTTGATGGAAATTGGTGAGATATGACAAATTTGACGTGGAGATCGCTGATGATGCAGGGAAGACCAGGTGCATCTTGCTCTATGGGTTGTTGGCTTCATTGCTGTGAGGAAGGGCGCTGCAATTGGTGAAAGCTGTGGAAGACTCCAATGAATTTGATGCTTGGAGGAGTAAGGAAGAAAGCTTTGAAACATGGAACTCTTGGGAGCAGCCACTACATGCATTACAACCTCAACTATTGAAGCTTGAAGAAGTATTTGATGAGACAGTCAAGCCAGGAACTACAATTCAGGAAGAGTTGAAATCTGCTATCCTTTTGAGATGTGTGGGCAGTCAGTTCAAAAACTACCTTGAACTTGACAATTGGCGACAATGTTCAATACTCAACTTTGAGGGAACAAGTCGCAATGGGATAGATCTCAGCAGAAGTGGGCTACGTCCATGGTGGCTTGTGGCAGTACAGACTATCAAGGGCCCCCTGCAAATGGATGTTAGCCGGGTCCAAAATGCCAAAGGAAAAGGTAAGAAGGTAAAGATGCCACGGGCAAAGGAAAGAAGGCAAAAGGAGATCAGAAAGGAAAGGAAGGTGATTACAAGGGCAAAGGTAAAGGCGCAGACAAAAAAGGCCAAGGTGTGGCAACATGTTACACTCGTGGAAAGCCAGGACATCTTGTTAAAGATTGTTGGAGGAACCGTATTCGACAGGTAGCAAGTGATCAAGCCCATTCATCTTCAGAATGCGAATGTGAGCCAACAAGGAGGATTGAGAACAGTGAGCCGACCATCTTTGACTTGAGACAAGGAGATGATGAGCTAGAAGATCAGTGTATTCGAGAAATTCACTTCTACATTGGAGACGATGATGATGATGATGATGAGCCAGAAATCCAAGAAGTTGAGGAGGTTGACATCTCAGATGATGAACCCATGGTGAGGAGACTTGGGGAAGAGAATGAGGATGCGGCGGTCATTATTGAGCTCATGTAGCGCCATTCCCTTCAAGTATGGCAGATCATGGGGAAGGAGAACTACAAGTCAGCACAAAGACCAGGCTACAAGATGCCCAAAGAAATCGTATCCCCACAGGAAGTGCGAAACGTGTTGAAATGTCCTTGCGTGACCTTGATGGACGAGAAGTTCTTCTCAAAGAGAATGCGATCTTCAGTTCTGATTCTAAGGTGAGTCAACCCATACTTTGTTATGGAAAGTGGATGGAATATGGTTGCGGAATCACCAGCAGAGAATAAATTTTAGAGAATGGTGATTTGAAGGCACCACTCAACCTACAAAATCGCTCTTGTCAAGGCCGCATTAGAGTCTTTAGAGTCACTTGAGATGAAGATGAGAGCTGCCTGGAGGCGCAAGTACCTGAAGCTTTGGAAAGGGAATCAGGTTGGAGATTCAATGAGCATGGACTGCTAGTTGGAAGCTTATTGATTTCAAGATTTGTAGATCCCACAGTCAGAAGTGCAAGAATCACCAGAGCTGATGAGAACCGCTTTGGTAAAAAGAGGAGGTAAATGGTTCATGCTTCAATATTGAATATTGTGAGAGCGTGATGAAAAAGGATGAACTTGGTGAGCAGTTCTTTGAGGATGATGCAGCCATTCCTTCAATCACAATCTTCTGCTATGGGCCAGCACCACCAGAGGATATGGTGTTCTTTGCGCCAGGATACAAGAAGCTTGACAACAAAGAGCAGAGAAGGAAAGAAGTTCAAGAGGCCATGTGAGAGATTACCCCTACTCCCCAGGAGAAGGATCTAGAAGGTCAGAGAGAAGAGGAAAAGAAAGGTGAAGACCTTGAATGCGAACTACAATTGAGCCCAATGGATGTAGACAAAGTCTTGGTGAATGGAATAGAGTTAATGGAATAGAGTTGACTAAGGATTCATCTTTGGCATTTCTCGGCATTTCAGGCAGGTCTACACCAAGATCCTCAATCGCAACAAGAAGATTGAATTTTTGAATGCCAAAATCTTGGTAAGTGAAGCAAAAGCCCAGGAGACAAGAGAGGCATTTGGGCAAAGTGTTGCAAAGATGCCAGATGAGAGAACTTCAGCAAGGCACAGATTGACGCACACGCCACATGTCAATTGGTGGAAGGAGTGCACTGAGCATCGAGCGCGTCCAGATCGCCATGAGAGGAAAAGCGACACAAGAGCAGGGGTTCAGAAACACAGTTGCAATCGACAGCCAAACTGGGTTCATTCATGTTGTACCTTTAGGAAGCCAAGGACAATTTCGCCTAATTGCGCAAGAGTTGATGAATTTCAGTCAATTGTTAGGGTATTCAGCAATAACGTACAGGAGTGACAATGAACCCACAACAAGGCAAATTCTCAAGATGCTGATCAATGCCCGCCAGAGTTTAGGACGTACTACCAGATTGGTAAACTCGAAGCTTGGAGATGGTTCATTTCTGTCAGAAAATACAGTTGACAGGGCGATTGAAGGTGTACAGTCCAAGACTTGGTATCAAGATTGGATCAGATCATGCACTTCGGGCTTGGGCCAGCAAGACGTGCCAGTGGGCGCTCAACAGATTTCAGCCAGTCAAAGGAGCGACTCCCTATGAGCTTGTCTACTGCAAGAATTACAAAGGACTTCTAGCAGAATATGGAGAACCAGTTCATGGTTACCTCAACGGCCTCAACAAACGAGAAGCGCGCATTTACGCTTGTTCTTGGGAAGGCTGAAAGACAAGACACCTATGTGCTTACGGGTGCATCAGAAGAATAGATCAAGATCGGTCTAAGTATTTACCCATATACAAAAGCTTCAACGGATTGTCGTGGGAATACCTAACCAACTTTGGAGGCAGGATCATTGCCGCCAAGAGGAGAGCAGAGGCATTACCAGCAGCGCCAACAGGCATTCCTCGAGAGCGTGTGACGCTGAAGTTCAAGGATGAAGATGCAGAAGCAGTCATGGCCAAGGCACTGGAAGGAGGAAGTGATTCAGAAAAAGAAGGGCAAGGACAAGCGTTTCCAGAGCCAATGGAGATTCCAGCCCTAGAAATCCTTGTTGATGCAATGAAAAGAGATGGAAGTGAAAGGAAGCCAAGTGGAGAAGAGACTCCAAGTAAGAAGCAGAAAGTTCTTTCCACAGATGAGAAAACCTTTGAGAAGGTGAAGGCGTTTCCCTCTACATCATTGCCAGCAGGACAGCCTAACCCAATTACTCCTATACTATCTTTATTGAGATCACCAACGAAGAATCTCCGGCCATCAGATGATTCAAGCAAGAAGACCAAGATGAACATGGTGAAAGTTGGGAGAGAAGATCTTTACCATGTAGATGAAGATTGACAGTTGCAGAGGAAGTTGAAGAAGAAGAGTGGGATGATGAAGAAGATGAAACAGATTTGGAAGAACTCAATGGACGTGAATGCTTGTGGCCCGATGGGCGACATGAACCTGAAGAAGATCCAGAAGAGTGGATTGATGGAGTAGCTGATGGGGTGGAAGAGAAAAGGTTCCAAAAGATGCAAGCGCTAGAGAACCAGAAGGTAGCGCAAAAGGAATCAGTTACAACACGCACTGTGTATGACTGGAGGAAGAAACCATATCAACTTGCAGGTTTGATTTCAGTCAAAAG